CATGTGCGATGCTTTTAACACTGTCGAGCAAATATCATAGAGGAAATTGCTTAATTCTGTAATGGTGCCCCATACAAAGTTCGGTAAAACTTCCTTCAAAGCTATTGGAATTAGTCTTTCCATCAGGATGTGACAATCATGACTCTTCAAACCTGTCAACTTGCATTCCTTCAAATCAACACATCTCCCGAGGTTCGAAGCATATCCATCAGGAAACCGCACAGATTTCAACCATTGACAAACAACTCGCCTCTGCTCCTTATCCAATATATAAACTGCTTTCGGTTTTGGTCCCCTGCTGCTTGCATCCACAGCTCCGATCGCAAATATCTCTCATATCTTTTCTTGCGTTCAAGTTGTCTTTTGTTTTTCCGGCGACATCCATCACAGTATTTATGACATTGTCGAAAACATTCTTTTCTATGTGCATGACGTCAAGATTATGATGAATAAGATGGGCCTTCCAATATGGTAGATTCCAAAATATACTGCGTTTTGTCCACTTATGTGTACTTCCGTATGCAAAAGTCGTGCCGTGCGGGTTTTCAACAACAGTTGGAAAGTCCTGCACACGCTCCCAAATTTGATTGCCAGTCAACCTCATTGGTGGACGCGTTCTTTCAGTCCTATTCTTGCTGAACTCTTTCTTATTCCTTCTGAAAGGATGACTTGGCGGTAAAAATTATCTGTGACAGTCAAAATAGCTAGGCTTCTTTCCATGTTTTAATCTAAATGACTTTGTCCTCTCCAAACATATCGGACATCCTAAGATCCCAGCTGTATTCCATCCAGATAACATTCCGTAAGCTGGAAAGTCATTTATCGTCCAAAGAAGGGCAGCCTTCATAACAAATGTTTGATCGGTAGAAACGTCATACGTAAGGACACCTTCAACCCATAGCCGTTGTAACTCCTCAATCAATGGTTGCATATAAACATCTATCAACTTTTTCGGATTTTGCGGCCCTATCACGATCAATGTCAAAAACATATAAGGTGTCTTCATGCACATACCAGGTGGAAGATTGTACGGCGTTAAGATAACTGGCCAGCATGAATAACTTTTTCCTGTTCTCCCAAATAGAGCAAATCCATCGGCACAGAGACCTAACCTCCATTGCAAACTCAGGGTATGTTCTATCAAAATGTTGCCATGCCTCTGCATCTGAAGGATGACACATTAGACCCTCTTCTGTTTCATGATTTGCATGCCAAGTCATGTGTTCAGCAGTGGCTTTAGACGTATAAAGCCTTTGCAATCTGGGGATTAAGGGCAGATAAAACATTTGCTTGCATGGTTTACGCTTCTGATTACGACCCGGCCTCCTGTTAATCTTGTACCTAGGTTGGCTACAGAATTTGCAAGATTCTGCATTTTCATCATCTCTCCAATATATCATACAACCCCTACTATATACATCAATCCTTACAACCGGAAGACCTAAGTTATCCACTAGCTTTTTCATATCATAAAAATCACTTGGCATGTTGTTATCACGAGGCAATGATTCCCGCATTACTTCAACAAAAGAGTTGAAGCAATCCATGCACACATTATGCTCGCCTTGATATTTAATAGTCGGGCTGTCACCGATAACCGAGTGTGGTCCTCACAACCCGCCCATAGAGGTTCATCTCTTGCTTTCAAGACATCCCTTAACCGATTAGATTGAAAAGTTTCATTATACACATTCTCCTCAAAACCCGTTACTCCTATATCTTCCAATTGTGAAGCATGACTAGTACCCACTTGTTCACGTGTAGGAGTAAAACTAGTACTTGCATGATTTGATTCTGTGACAAAATTATAACTAGCTGCATCAATCACCATCCTCTCGTATGGGTTCAATTGCTCATAATAGCCACATTCTTTCCTAACTGAAAATTGATCACTTCTTCCATATCCTTCATCAGATATAAATGGTTCACCATGGGAAGTCCAATTATAATAGTTCGGAGTAAACCCAAATCTAATAAGGTGTTCTCTAACTTGATCACACACAAGAAATTTACCATTACCGCACTTTTTACACGGACACCTTAACTTATTTCCATCCATAAACTCATATTTACTACTAGCAAAGTCTAAAAATAGTTCCAACCCAGTACGAAACTCATCTGTCAATCCTTGACGTCCATGTAAGTTCTTATTATACATCCAAGCCCTTTCTCTTTGCATTGTGTCTGTATTAAAATAAAAAATTCTGGTAAAATATTTAAAATATCATATCTATTGTTCTTAATTAAAACCATAAAATTTTGGAAATTATAATTTTTGTTATTCACGCAACAATTAATATGAAATTGCAAAAATAGAAAAAATTACAATGTAAAGAAGACTTACCCAAATATTTGACTCAAATATTTGTAGGAGAAAGTGATCAATTTGATGAGAATTGCAATGTCCATTTGGATTGCGAGACCTTCAATTAGGCACATACCCAAAAAAGAATAATCACTTAAGAATCATTTTTTAATAATTTTTAATGTGCGATGGAAATGGAATATATCCGTCGCAAAATTTGCGACGGATACTATTATCCGTCGCAAATTTTGCGACGGAATTTTCATTTATTCGTCGCAAATTTGCGACGGAATCAGGTATCCGTCGCAAATTTGCGACGGATACTATGTGCCGTCGCAATTTTGCGACGGATACTATGTTCCGTCGCAAATTTGCGACGGATACTTAACTCCGTCGCAAATTTTGCGACAGATTTCCATTTATTTGTCGCAAATTTGCGACGGAACTTAACTCCGTCGCAAATTTTGCGACGGAATTTCCATTTATTTGTCGCAAATTTGCGACGGAATCAGGTATCCGTCGCAAATTTGCGACGGCACATAGTATCCGTCGCAAATTTGCAACAGAATTTTCATTTAATCGTCGCAAATTTGCAACGGAAACTATTTCCGTCGCAAAACGGCGTGGCCGTTCGGCCTCATCCAAAGGCCGGCGAGGTGTCGCCGGTCGCTGGTCGTTAAACCGGTGATGCAGATACCAAAAAAAAATAAAAATAAACATATATTAAAAAAAAAAGAAATTACAATGCAACGACGAATAGTCACGAAGCTAGCTATGACACTTACCGGTACAAAAGTTTCACCGATATTAATATGTGCGTGCGCGGATTTTGTTGATTTCAGACATATGAAAGAGGGAGAAAAACGAGAGAGAGCGAGAGAGAGCGAGAGAGAGAGATAGGGTTGGAATATCACGGGCTGATAAACTACGAATTTGCGACGGACGTTGTTTTCGTCGCAAATTTGCGACGGACTTACAATCCCGTCGCAAATTTGCGACGGATTTTGTGACGGTTTTATTTTCCGTCTGAAATTTGCGACGAACGTTTTTCCGTCGCAAATTTGCGACGGATTTGCGACGGATTACATTTTCCGTCGCAAATTTCCGACGGAAAAGGAAACCGTCGCAAAATCCGTCGTAAATTTGCGACGGAAATAAACCGTCGCAAATTTGCGACGGAAAATGTAATCCGTCGCAAATTCCGTCGCAAATTTGCGACGGAAAAACCTTCGTCGCAAATTTCCATCGCAAATTTCGTGTTTTTTTGTAGTGTCAGTCCTGAGGAGAACTGAGAGAGAGAGAGAGAGAGAGAGAGAGAGAGAGAGAGAGAGAGAGGGACAGGCAGACCGGCAAGGACCGGATCATCGTCCGCCCATGCGGTGTCGGATTCGGTGGGTGGTGGATGGTGGGTTTTCGTTTCGATCCCCGAGAAGCTCACGCCTAGCGCCACCACGTGTGCCACACCACGCCCCCCACCTGAACCTCCGCGGGTGGCCACGCTCTCCCCGCCGCCACGTTTTGGCTGTTGTTTCCATCTGGTTCCCCACGATTCGCCACCAGCTCCTCCTCCCATTCCGAGCACCGACAAAGAAGTTCTCGGGATGTGAGGGACGATTGGATCGAGCGTTCGTTGTATAATTTAGGGCCCGTCCGGTTTTGCATTTATAGCAAAATTTAAATATTTGTTTTGAAAAAGTTGTAACGTAAATTTTCGTATCGATCGGTATTTTGAGTTTGAAGAAAAGTCAAAATACATGAGCTGTGAAATTTAAAAATGATCCTTTCTGATTACTTACATGGATAAGACTGGAGATCCAATCAAAAGTTACTAAACCAAAGTGCTGCAGGTTGTCTTTCTTGACAAAAAAAGAAATGGGAAAAGTCCCCGTTATCACTAAAATTTCGCGGTTTTGGAATTTAAATCTTTCGATTAATTGAGCTCATCTCCAAAGCCCTAATTCGGAACATAGCACTTTACCGCGTCATTATTTTGTACGGTGCATCCATTAGTATCTTAACCTAACTCAATCGTTGATGCACGCCACATTTTCATACAATACCTAATCTCTCTCGCCCCATCCATCACTTGCCTCCAATTGTTGTCCCTTGCTGCGCTACTAAACTCGAGGTCGCTTGGAGAGCTCATATTGAGATCCTTGTGGTCCTCAACAACCTTTAGACATGTCGAGGTCGCGACCCCATGGAGACCTCGATAAGAAATCTTCTCAAGATGTCATGGACAAACTTAATCTAAGGTCATTCACGGTGGCGCTAGGTTGCCATGGTGTGATCAACGGCTTCGACTCAAGGTTGTCTAAGATGATCGCAACGAGCTTGATTCGAGATCCTTATAGCAATCTCGAAAAAGAGAGACGAGGATGCTGTTGTAGCTACAGGCGGCAATCGAAAATGGCGCAAAGGCCACGAAAGGAGGGTGGCGGCAGCGGCGGCAACGCCGCTACTGTGGCGCCCGACATTCGAGCTTACAAACCTCATGTGCCCATCTGAAATTTCACTGCATACATGTCATGTCCCCACCTCGTAATATCGTCAGAAAATGCAGGGGCGTTGTTGGAACATCCGAGTCCACGCTCCATGCAAGAACACAACCTGTCACGTACCATCTCCTGTCTGTCCCTCCTCTCCTTCTCCTCTGTTCCTCCCTCGATCTCCGGTCTGACAGAGACCCCCTCCTCCTTCTGCTTTCCTTTCTCCCTCTTTTTATCTCCCGCAAACCAACAATGCAATCAAATCATTACAACAGAATCCACGCTCGATTTCACAGCGCAGGCAGAACTCTGCAAACTGCAAAGTGCAATCTCACACACCCCGTTATATATATATATATATACTCCCAACCACTTGCTTCAAGCTCAACCCTCATCGTCTTTTCCAAACATTCGACCCGCGCAGAGCCCGGAAAAAGCAGTCTTTTTTAAGGAGGAGGAAGCGAGATAAGAGATGGGCATTTGCCATTCGAGCGAGCCCGCCAGCGCCGCGGACGCCACCGCGAAGCTGATCCTCCAAGACGGCCGCCTCCAGGAATTCGCGCACCCCGTCCGGGCCTCGCGCGTGCTGCAGAGCTGCTGCTGCGGCGGCGACCCCGCGTGCTTCATCTGCGACGCCGACGACGTGGGCCCCGACGGCGCCGTCTCCGCCGTAGGTGGCGACGAGGAGCTCCGGCCCGGGCGGCTCTACTTCGCCCTCCCGCTGAGCAGGCTGGAGCGGCCGCTGGAGGCGAAGGAGATGGCCGCGTTGGCCGTCAAGGCCAGCTCGGCGATGAAGGGCGGGAAGGGTCGCGGACGGAAATGCCGGGGGGTGGCGGCGGCGTTCTCCGGCGAGAAGGAGGGGAGGTGCCCGGCGGAGGCGGGAGGCGGCGGCGGTAATGGCGGGTCGGTGAAACGACGGGGTGGCGGTGGAGGTAGGGGCACCGTGGCGATTTTGAGCGCAATTCCTGAGTAGGGGGCAGTTTGGGGAATTCGCACGGGGGACATTTTGCTGTTGTAAATATTTATCTTCATTTTGTTCACCACGAAATTATGAAAAAAAAGAAAAGAAAAGAAAAGTATAAATCCCATTTTCCATTTCTGGGGATATAAGAGGATCCCTAATTTTAATTTTCTTCAGTGATGATAACCACACCAACATAATGTCCTTATACCCTTGAAATTGACGAAAATTAGAATAAGGTAAACTCAATCGGAGAAATTTTGAACCTAATAAGGTATCGATTCGCGAATACACCTCGATTTAAATCGAACAGATAACTCTAACGTGTTATTGATTTTTCAATTACGATCACTAACATCTCGCTCATGCATGATTAATAACATATATACTTTTATCCGAGGAAGCGAGTCACGTTGCAAGCAATGCTTAACATTTTGCTAGCAAAGTCGCACGACGAGTCGATTCATTCGATGGAAGGGCTTCGCATTAAGCCCGAATTTGAAAAGTTGAGGTACTTGAATCGGCGTAAACAACACAGACGAGAGAGAGAGAGAGAGAACGGCATTTCTTGTCCGTATCAATGGCAGCCGCCGGCCGTCCATTGACGCGAACCCGGAAGCCACTGTTCCGCGTTACCCAAAATTCGTCTGGCAATGCACATGCTGTTCGTCTGGTGTTAATCTGTTTTAGGGTGCGCATGAATACCATTCTGTGCCCGCGAACTATTTCTGAACAGAAATGATTTTTTTTTTAGGAAAAAAACCACAAAACCCCAAACTTTGCCATCTGTGACACATTTACCGAATTTTTTTGTGAAAAAAAAACCAGAACTTTGCTTTTGTGACACATTTACCCCAATGTATTTACTCCATGGGCATTTTCGTCTTTTTGCTTTTCTTTTTTTCTTTTTTTTTTTTCCTTTCCGTGAGGGGGCCTCGCCGGATCCACAGGCGCCCATCGCCGGATCCGGCGAGGGGGCCTCGCCGGCGTCAGCAGCGGCCCTCGCCGACGCCGGCGAGGGCGCCCTCGCCGGATCGGCGAGGGCGACCCTCGGGCGCGGCGAGGGTCGCCCTCGCCCGATCCGGCGAGGGGCCGCCCTTCTGCCGGCGTCGGGCCGCCTCGCCGGATCTCGGCGAGGGCCGCCCTCGCTCGCGCCGGCGAGGGTCGACCTCGCGGATCGGGCGAGGGCCGCCCTCGCCCAGCGAGGGCGACCCTCGCCGACGCCGGCGAGGGTCGCCTCGCCGGGCGAGCGAGGGCGGCCCTTGCCGGCTCGAGCGAGTCGACCCTCGCCCGACGCCGGCGAGGGTCGACCTCGCCGAGTCGGGCGAGGGCCGCCCTCGCTCGCCCGGCGAGGGCGAACCTCGCCCGGAGCCCGGCGAGGGCCGCCCTCGCTCGCCCGGGCGAGGGCGAACCTCGCCCGACGCCGGCGAGAGCCGCTCGCCGGATCCGGCGAGGCCCCCCCTCGCCGAAAAGGAAAAAAAAAGAAAAAAAAAAGAAAAAGCAAAAAGACGAAAATGCCCATGGAGTAAATACATTGGGGTAAATGTGTCACAAAAGCAAAGTTCGGGTTTTTGGTGTCACAAAAAAAGTTCGGGGTAAATGTGTCACAGATGGCAAAGTTTGGGGTTTTTGGTGGTTTTTTCCCTTTTTTTTATTCTGTGCCCGGAAACAATTTCTGAGTATTTGAAGGCGTTTGATAAACTGACCAAAATTTATATTCCTAGAGTAGAAAAGAACATAAATGCGTTTGGTAACTACACAAAATTTATGTTCCCAAATAATATTTTAATAATATTTTGAATTGTTTAATTTTTTTTTCTTTCTACCCATTTTCTTCTGCATGGCACTTGCCGTCAGCGGCGATCGGCCACAGCCTCAGGCCGGTCGCCGCGACCGGCCACACCTGTGGCCCACCGTGGCCGGCGACAGGGCCGGCCACAGCCTGGCTCAGTGCCGGCGAGGGCGAGGGCTGGGACCCTCGCCGCCCGGGCGAGGCCGAGCCTCGTGCCGTCGGTCGCGACGGCGAGGTCGGCCTCGCCAGACGGCGAGGCCGCTCTCCCCCGCATCTGGTGACGGCGAGGCCGGGCCTCGCCTGTGATCCGGTGGCGGCGAGGCCGGGCCTCGCCAGATCCGGGCGAGGCCGAGCCTCGCCTGCCTCCGGGCGAGGCCGACCTCGTCTGTCGCGACCGACTGGGTGAGGCCTCGGCCTCGCCTGTGCGGCGAGGGTCCAGCCGCCCTCGCGGCGAGGGCGACCTCGCTCCGCTGGCGATCGGCGAGGGCCATGACGCCCTCGCCGGCCCTGGGCTGTGGCCGGTCGCCGGCGGCCGGCCCAGCCCAGGGAAGAACAACACAAAAATAAGAAAAGAAAAAAAAGAAAAAGAAGAAAAAAAACTGATTCTCAAAATTGTGCCGAGAAACAAGAAGCAACTTTTTTTTACTTCTTGTTTCTCTTCCAAAACTGTTTCTCGGCACAAATTTTTGCAAAAATGTGCCCGGGAACAAAAAGTTTACCAAACGCATTTCTGTTCCCAAACTATTTCTGGGAACAAAAGAACAGAAATTTTCACTGTTTGGCACGTTACCAAACGGGCCCTTAGCTGCTTTGCTTCGTTCGCTCGCTCGCTCATCGTCCGGAGTTCTTGATGGAGAAGAACCTTTTTCGAAAGGATGGTTTCGGTTTTGTTTGGAGTGGGGAGGGTCTACGCTCGGAGAGGGCAAGTGACGAGCTCTTCTCGAGTGGTTGAGTACTCATGCTCTGTTGTTCTTGAGTATAGTGATTCAAACCCTTTGAATAGGAAGATCTGATGATGCCTCTCTTCTCCTGACAGTTTCGTGATCGAATTAGCGCCCCCTATTTGTAAGTTTTCGTGATCGATTCAGATGGGAAGCCGGCGATGACGAATTGGAATGAGATCCTGAAGGCGAGGTTCTTTTATGGGCTTGGCTTTTGGTGTTGAGATTTCTGAACTAGGACGGTCTGAGGCTTCTTCTGTGTTGTCCCTGAACTGATGATGAGTCGAACAATGCCTTGTCTTGTTCGGTCACGTTTTTTGTTCTTTTTGTCGAATATATAATTCGATCCTATCAACGATGCAAGAAAAATAATGGAAATTCGCACAACACAAGAATTTACGTGGTTCAGCAGGGGAGATGTTCCGCCTACCTACGTCCACGGGGAGATGAGATCTGTTTCACTAATAACGTAGAAAAGTGTACAGCCGCTCTTTCTCACTCCCTCCTTCTCTCTCTAGAGACCTGTTTCGCCCTAAATATATAGCGAAACCCTACATGGCACAAATTACAAAATTGCCCACATAGCTTAAAACATTTAACTTTCCCATAGAGATCATTTTATGACTGAACATAAAACGCATCTGGCAGCCCGGGGGCGCTGCCCCCGCGACCCCCGCCGAGGCCGGCCCCCCAGACCCCCGCCCGCTCACCGGGGAGCGGGACCCCTGTGCTATCCAGTCGTCAGGGGGCCTTTCGGAACCGCCTCATAATCTCTTGGATAACAGAATACAAGACATCAACCTCAACACTTTTTTCATGCCTGTTCATCGTAGTTTCGGAAAGCGAAAACGTTGAGGATGATGAGACACGAAAAATTTTACAGTTATCACTGTCTGACGCACCGGGTGCTGAAATATGTAAATCTGACACAACCGCTATTGCTTCTGTTTTATGAAACATTTCACCGGTGTTTCGTTTTAACTGCTTGCTTGCTTGCCTGATGATTTGGAGTGGGAATGTTTGCGTTTTCTTCGCGATTCTCTGCTTATGCGATCACGGATTAGCGTAAAAGCGCAGCCCCGATGCGGGAGAATGGCTAGAACTTCAGGCCATTTTCTGGGGGAAGGAAATGGGAAGTGAATGGAATCGCTGTTCCTGCACTTATTTCCATTCCTGGTGTTTGGTATGATTTCTTGTGATAGGAATGAGCATTTTGAAGTGAATGCCTGTTTTGATCAAAGGAACGCGTAGGCATTGCTACCTTCTGGTGGGGGAAAAAATGCTCGTTCCATTCCACTTTGATTTTCTGTTCCTATGCGTATTTATGCGCTTTGTTTTCTCTGTAAGCATCATTCCTTGGACAAATTTAACATTTTTAGACAGCAGTTCTGTTGGATTGTAACAACATCCTTTGTCATAGCCAAACAGAGAAGTTGGATTGCTAATTTCATTCCATTTCTTCATACCGCTTCCTTCTACCAATTCGCGCCCATGTTTATGGCCACTCGGGTCTTGTCGGATCTAGGCGCAACGCGTCTTATGTTAAAAACATAATGATTCAGAATTTGTCATATGACTCTCCAATTACTGCAGGATGCGGGAAGTTTTCCAATCAATAATTTCCACAAGCTTATCCTCACTGTTGCAAAATCTCCTGCTAGACTGGTCCATGTAGATCAGCTCAATGTGAGGATTGTTTGTGCCAAGTTCGGTTTAGACAGTTCTTGAATTAGCAGGGGAAGTTGTGCATCCTGTCTTGTCTTTGTGTGAGGACATGATTTTAGCACCACGTCGGATCGAGCCCGACGCCAATGAAGAACTTAGTGTTTTACATGGAATTACCGGCCGAGTATCGCCTCTGATGCGACATGGTTGGCTAACTGAACGAGGCATACGTATGGTTTGGTTTGATCTTTTGCTTGCAAAACCAGATTGTCTTAGAAGTCATCTGCAGCTGTAACTTTTGCTGGACGTTATAGTTGTCCTGCTCAGTTCAGATTATGTTTGTAGACTGCAAGATAGAACGTGTGGCGATCGAGTTATATACCAAAAAAGGATCGCGATGAAAGTCTGTTCCCGTTTCTGTGAACCTTGTTGAAAGTGCTTTGACCGGTTAATGACAGTATGCGGCAGACTCGATGTGTTGATTCAAACCGGTCATGTAAAACTAGAGTTTATTCTGTGTAAGGATCTCTCATAAAAGGTGAAAACAGATCATAAGAGCAGTACTGGAATAATGGAATTTTGCTGAGGATCACACTACAGTCTTCAGGTAAACACACAAGACGGTTCGTCATGTGAGTGTATTGCCAGAAACTAAAGAGTTATTACCACGATCATAAAGATTTATTACTCACATTACAATGCAATGGTTAGGGTTTTCTTCATTGAGATGATGAGCAAACTTATCAAACTCCTCAGGAAGCTCCGGGTTATGGTAATACTCCACAGGCGGCAGATGATAATCGAACTGAGTGACTGGAGGTTTCGCCGTTTTCGACGAACCTTTCCGACATTGATGACTGCTTGAGACGGCAGAGATAGACGAGGACGAATGATGAACTCCTGCGTCATGAGTCAATCCATGAGAGATTTTACCTACTTACACCTCAAAAACAGGCGGAAAAAAGCAACTTTGGCTGACCTGGTGCACTCGGTCCGCTCGGGGCCGAAGTGGCTGGAGTTTTTGCTGACCCTGCACGGCGTGGATGACTGCTCGAGATGGACGAGACGAACGAGGACGAATGACGATCTCCTGCATCATGAGTCGATCCATGAGATTTTACCTATTCGTACCTAAAAAAAGGGCCACTTCGGCCGACCGTTGCGCCTGGACCGCTCAGGGCCAAAGCGACCGGAGCTTTCACCGACCCTTTTTCGGGCTCTGATGATCGCTCTCGGTGAACGAGGATGAGAACAAAAGATGACCTCCTATGTCATGAATCGATCTACGACCGACTTATACCTGAACAAAGGCATGAAAAGAAAGAAAAGAAGGCCACTTTGGCTGACCTGTCACGCTTTGACTGCTCGGGGCAACTTGAAGCGACTGTGATTCCTTCTGCTTCCCCTTCTTCCACTTCCATATCTTACTATAACTCACTATCTTCTTATCATCGGGCGCCATTGAAGGACCTCGAGAGGCCTGAGAAGCGTCGATGCTGCTGAGTGTTGTTAATGATATGCGAAGTGGAGCGTGTTCTCTTGGCGGCAGAGCTATTGGTGGAGCATTGCATGGAGAGATATCATCATGAAGAAGGAAGAATAGATAGTTGCAGAAAATAATGTGTGTCGTATAATATTCTTATGGAAATTGTTTTTGCGCGTCCAGACGGCGAAATATATGCCTGAAAGGTGTAAAGAATGTTGTCTATGTTGCGCATATTCAAGTTGGAAATTGGATATATACGACGATAAATACATTGTAGTAAATATTTCTGAGGATATTAGCAATTGTATTTTCACTGAGCACAACTTAGCATGAGGAGATATCGTCATGAAAAAAGGAAGAATAGAAAGTAGCAGAAAATAATTGTGTGCTGTATAATATTCTTATGGAAATTGTTTTTGTGCGTTTGGACGACGAAATATACGCCTAAAAGGTGTAAAGAATGTTGCCTATGTTGCGCATATTCAAGTTGGAAATTGGATATTTTCGACGATAAATATATTATAGTAAATATTTCTAAGGATATTAGCAATATCTGGATTTCATTGAGCACAACTCGCGATATTATTTCTTGTTCTTTCTAATCCTTCTGTCTGTCTGACCTACTATGGCTTGTCACATAAATTTGTAAAGGTTAAAGGAAAAACAAATGAAGATTTTCATTGAGGCTATCTTTCTATGGTGACCGTCTTTTTCATCAATAATGTGAATCGATATATTGGATTTATAAATCATGAATCGAGAGTCGAATCAGCAGATTCGATAAAGCATCCAAAAATAGTATTTTGTGTTGTAAACATTTATAATTCTTTCTAGCAATATTCTAAGATATAAAAATTTTGAGTACGAATTATGATCTGGAAGAAGAGAAATCTAATTTTCGAGTACCTGCGATGATCCCTATATACAAGAATATATAGATTCCGTTATTTTATTATTATAAAGATACATTTAGATATGTATCGCGATTCTCAATAGGCAAGTATATATGCAAATACCTTGTGTTGATTTGAGAAGTGGGTTTTGGTTTTGAGCATGTCTTCACAAGCAATTGGTAATATTCTTTTTGCACGAGCCATCTTGGTCGAAGAGAGTTTATAGGAGGAAGGAACCTAATTGAGGGAAGGAAATCCTTAATAAGAGGATTTATAGAGCCTAACACACCAGGAAATAGGAAATCCAATAATGCCCAAAACCGCGAAACCGGGTTATAAATCACTCGACCATCTCGCACTTCTTTTACGTGAGGCTCATTGTCTCCTCAACTCGGGTTTTGACTCATGCACATTCTCGAGGAAACTCGGCCTACACGTTTCTTTTTTGGAAAAAAATTATGAAAAATCCCAAACTATGTATACAGTGACACATTTACTCTAATTTTTTATGTCGCAAAAAAATTTCAAAGTATACCCGTTGTGACACATTCATCTTAAACTTTTTTTTTGTGACATCAAAAACTCCAAATTATACCGATTGTGACATATTTGCCCTAAACTTTTCTTTGCAACATAAAAAACCCAAACTATATCCATAGTGACACATTTATCCTAAAATTTTTTATGATATAAAAAACCCTAAACTACACCCATTTACCTTAAACATTTTCTTGTGACATCAAAAACCATTGTGACACATTGTGACACATTCATCTTAAACTTTTTTTGTGACATTAAAAACTCCAAACTATACCGTTTGTAACACATTTGCCCTAAACTTTTTTTTTGCAACCTAAAAAACCCAAATTATACCCACAGTAACGCATTTAACCTTTTTTTTTTTTTACTCATTGTGACACATTTACCCTAAACATTTTCTTGTGATATCAAAAACCCCAAACTTATGCCTGCGTGACCCATTTACCCTCCATTAAAGTTCAGCTGGATGATAATTTTTAGCCAAAACGACGTCGTTTTGTTTCACTTAAGCCGGGTAGGCGCTATCTTCGGCACACGCTTTGCCTTCCGCTGTCCACGAAAGGCAGATTCTTAACGGTGCCCGTTGACGAAACATTGACCTTGGGTTAACGTGTCACCTGGGTACAAGTTTAGAATTTCCGGCGGCGTTTTCTTCCTTTTCTTTTCCGATAAGTGATCATTTACAAGGTTTCACTTGATGGGCTCCCTAAGATCATGGGGCAACGTAGCTCTAGCCCGCGGCCCCATGTCGGCCTCCCAAATTCTCCCACCGGGCGATTCCTGGTGACAAGGCCCCTTGCTGCGGATCGCTAGGTCCTTCGTTCGTGCTGAAGCTGAAGCTGCCGCTCTCGTCGAACTCGCGCGTCGTCCAAGAGCACGAGAACCCAGAAACAGAGAGAGAGAGAGAGAGAGAGAGAGAGATGGCGTTCAGGGGGAAGGAGATGATGAAGAAGGTGCTGAAGCGAGTGGGGGAGAAGAACCTCGCGCCCGGAGTCAAGGAGACCCTGGAGAAGTGCATCCCCAAGTCCAAGGTCGTCATGGGTCGCGCCCACCGCGGCCTCTTCGCCGGCCGCCACATCCGCTTCGGCAACCAGGTCAGCGAGGACGGCGGCAACAAGTAAATCTCCACCCCTCCTACCCCTCCCTCGCTCGTTCATTTTGGTCAATCAGCTGTTTTTTTGAAATGGGTGTGCTCGGAAATCGAGTCTGGTTGTGTGTTGCGGTCGCGGATGCTTGTTAGTTCGGATTCGACTGTGGTTTCGCATCAGTTGAGCTTTACCGGCTCATCAAATTTGGCTCGCCCTTCATTTTGTGCTGAGTGAGTCGTGTTCTTTTGCATCAACGATGTGTAATTTGAGCTCACAAGCGTCGTAATGGTTCCATTTTCTGTAGTCCGTGACGAATTGCAAAGACGGGGCATTCTGTTGTTGGACTGGATTTTCGATATGAAAAACGGTGTTTCCCTTTCTTTCAGTTCAGAAACTTTTAATGAGAGATCTGATATGACCAATGTTAAAGATCCAAGTTTGTGACTCCGATCTTTCGTTGTTGTTTGCTCTTCCTGCTTAAGCATTTGAATTGCCAACAATCTCGGTTGTTCTTTGTCAAATTACTCTTCCTGTCGTCATGTCAACATGTAATGTGTGAACGCCATGAGCTCGCTCCTTGATGGTGAAGGAGATGTCATTACATTCCACTCGGTCACATATCCGCCTTCAGGCTTTGTCTACCTCCACATTTCCCTGTTTTAGAATTTTGCAAGATCAGCTCTCGGTTGCAGCTGGCTCTAGCAGATATCCTGATTGGTTTCTGTTAATTAGTGTTCTCGCACTTTTGTGACCTATTTATTGTACACGATAACTCTGTCGGGAGATAGTAGGACAGGACATTTGTTTTTCTCCACAATAACTGTTTTCTCCCCTTGTTATCAGTAAAGGGTTTAAGCACTCAGAGATTTAGTTAATTCAATCCATATCAACGTTGATAGGGCACCACAATCCCATCTATATGGGTTTAACTTGTACTATAGTTTGCCACTCCCCGCAAGGGAAAACCATTAACATTATCAGATATCTTATGTAAACAATGTTGAGTTGCTCCAACCAAATCCGTGATGATGATGACAATGGGTGACAACTAGCATGAACACAAGTTGTTGTTGGTCCAGGGCTCTTGTTTTCTTTTTTCCCTTCGAGGATGTAGATATTGACATACTATTGAGTTTTACCCATTGAAACTTTGGTAATGATTGACTGATCCTGTTGATTCCTGCTAGTAGAAGAACCGATAGACTTGAGTTTTGTAAGTTTCAACTGTAGTGATCTCTGTGGAGTTGAATTGAAGTGAGAAAATTGTAATTTTCTGAAAAGAGCTTCGCCGTGATGGTTGTTCCAGGACAAGGAGAAGCTGGAAGCCAAATGTGCAGGAGAAGCGACTATTCAGTTACATTCTCGACCGCCATATTCGTGTCAAAGTGACGACCCATGCTCTCCGGTGCATAGATAAGGTAGGTGGGATTGATGAGTATCTGCTGAAGACACCTTATCACAAGATGGACACAGAAATGGGTCTGTATTGGAAATCAAAGATCGAGAAGCTTTATGAAGAGCTGGGGAAAATGGAGGTGGTTTTCTTTTCTCCCGAGGACGAAGCCAAGTTCGAACAAGGTTTTAAACAACTGAAAATTGAAGAGAGGGCAGCTCGTAGGGATTTCAGAAGGCAGATGTATGGTACAACAGGCAAAGAGAAGCCGGCAGAGGAAGGTCAAGCGAGCGATCAAGTAACTCGAGAAGAGTCGCCCAGGATTGGCGATGGACATTGGCGTGCGGATTATCCCGATCAACCACACGAGCAGCAGTTGGTTGCTTACTCTTAATTTTGATCGCATTCGAACAATGTTAAGATTTGCTAGTCATTGGGCTGGTTCGAGTTCTTTTTGTTACTGATAATAAGATTTGAACTTGGAGGATGGTAGTATAGGCCATAAGGCATTAGGGTTGGAGCCTTTTGTGCATTAGTATTATTTGTATGAATATTGCGCAATAGTTTGCCAAATGGATCACAGAAAAATTTAGTGTGCGCTTTGGGATAATTATGTCATGCTCCTAGGTTTTTGGTGGCGGTGGCAATTTGTGCCCCAAAATCTCAATTTTTGCAAAATCCTCCCTGACATTCCGAAATCTATTTCAATGTACCCATGGATGTTGACTCTGGCGAAATTCTTGTTGAAAAGTCAGTCACGTGCTCTCATGCGACCGTTTGACATGGCACGGCTCGCATCATGTATTCCATGTATGAGGCATCATGTCGGAACCTCTATCTACCTACCACCAACTACACAAACTCCACGCCCACGTTCTAAACACAATCTACAGATTGAGATTAGCGGAACTTGATTGTAAGTTGTAACAATACGTTACAGGCTGTATGTTCTGGTACAACATGAGGAAGTCAAAGGAGGGGGGAAGCGGGGGTGCTCTTTCTTTCTCTCCGTTGTTAAGCTTTGCAAATTGTAGGAACTCAGCCGACGCCATCCATGTCCTCCCCTGCGGCCTTTGTCGTCCTCTTAATGAAGCAATGGGTCCATCTCTAAACGTTTGCACGGGGCGACATTCTTGAAAGTGCTCGTACAAAGCTTTGTCATTCTCCGTTACCAGGTAGAAGGGCTTTGAAATGAACGAGGCCGTCGCATGACACCGCTTGACAAGTTGGTCAGAGCAGAAGCAGTGAGACGTAGTCGAGGTTGTACGACCTCAAGCTAGCCACCACAACACGGCCGCAAGTCAGATCTCAAGACCCCAGAACCATTGGAGAAAAAAGCGTTTTAAGAAACTGCAGACTGTTTTTAACTATGACAAGTGCCATTGGAGCACTTTTGAACATTTTCCATATGATTTAGCGAAGATGAATCCTTGTATATCTCGACTATTCTAAGTTTTGGGGGCACTATAGAAGTTGGCATTACGGCAGATTGCATTCCAAGAAACAAAATGTGAAAGATTTCTGTTCAATCTTGTCATGTCCTGCCTCATAGACTGTACAAAGCAACCAAGTCATTCCACTTTGAAAAAAACAAGAGACACAAATGATCAGTCACATTGGTCATCTTTACTCCAAGAAAGCCTAATCACTTCACCAACTCTTTCGTTATCAGATAGCGGAAACTAAAATTGTGAGGAATCCACTCGATGTTCTTGCGCGATTTGCTGAGCTGACACCTCTTGAAGGTTTTCCTGAAGGACTCGGGCAATGATAGCTGAATCATTTCCACGACTCCAGCTGGACTCAACCCCGACTCCTTCGCGAATGACTCCACGACCTTCGGTAAGAGGATCTTCTGGTCCTTGCGGACCCCGAAAGTTGCGCGTATGTACTCCTCTTTCGCCGTTTCCAACTCTTGAAACACTCTTTTGGGAGTGTATAATCGGACCTATGAAATTTAAAAAAGAAAGAGAGAACGACGACGGTCGAGTATGTTAAACACCCTAAATGATTCAGAAATGATGTATAAGGAAGACAAGAATTTGCAATCTGGGTTAGCATCTAAAAACGAAATCAAGAGAATGGCAGGGGAGACAAATACTGCGGGATCGGAGTGACTTCCACAGCAGAGTGCAAAATGCAAAAGGGGTTCAGAGTGATTGACTGCATACGCTTGTCTTGGGTCCCCGCTTTTGAACTTGGACCTCGTAGACAGTAATAAGCGAAGCCACTGCACGAAACGCGAATTCATATCAGATCCACGACAGAAGTTAACGTTCGAGAATCGTCCTCTACTTCAGAACTACGAAAAGACCAAAGAGCTTCATATCGTCGATTGACTAAAGACTAATCTACGTATAGCCAGGGGAAACAGTATGTTTTAACCTTGCACGACGGTAAATAAATTGTCTCACCGCCTAAACCGAAAGACTAGCTTCACCATTCTATAATGCTAAAATAAATGAGGGGTCTTAGATTTACCTGTCCAGGTCGAGACAACCGGCATCTGAGGATCGAGCTCTGTATTGTGCCAGCGCTGATGGTGTGCCCGCCAACATTGTAGGCTGCCTGCATTAGGACAAGCTTTGGTAAATTCTGCATCGTGAATTTTTTGATCTTTTATCACGTGAAGACAGAGTCTAAAGACCGAATGAGGTACCTTCAATAGTAGCAAGATTCTCTTTCCGTTGTTTTGTGGGATCCCATAAGCCAGAAAAGCCTGTTTCAGAAACAAAAACTGCTTACAAAACACAAATCGTACAGGACAAACAAAAGCTGGAAGTAACAGTCGTACTGGTGATAACTCCTTACATGCATCACCAGTGCATTGTGGATATTGATCCAGAAAGCTAGTTTCTCCTCGTGCTTCAACTTCCTTGGATCTATTTCTTCTAAGCGAGAAACAAGCGACCTGGTGAAGTATTTGGCTCAGTGACGACACAAGATCAAAACAGAACCAAAAGCTTTTATCACAATTTTGTTGCAGACGTCAAATCTACGGGCAAAGTAGTAACTTTCCAAAACAGAACCAAAAGCTTTTATCACAATTTTGTTGCCGGAGTCAAATCTGCAGCAAAGTAGTAAACTTTCTCCACATTTCAGCACGGTTAATAAGTAATGTCAAATTTATTCTAGGATGTGTTTTGCTGGACAAAAGATGTAACAAATTTAAATTGGTTTTGTTAGAGAATATTGTCTGGGAGTGAACAATTCGCTCGCAACATGAAATCTATATGTCAAGAAACTGACCTAAAATTCTGCAAAGAGTCTTCGATGTCCCCCAATTTCTGGCTATCCCGATGCAGCCATGCCACTTCGATCATGGTGCTATACGGTCCGCTAAAATCCTTGAGTCCGTCCACATGGAAAGGATTATCTAAGCACACATCGAAGGAAGAGCTGTTCCCAAACCCGGGACTCCATGCATCCAACTGATCTCGCGGAGAAAAAGCACTCGCCAATGACGAAGATGAGCCAGGAGACGAGAGGCCGTTATGCATCAAGGGCGAGTCTGCAAGTTTGCAATAGATGCCTGACATGCACTTGACCATATCCTCAGAGAGCTTATTCGGTGTTTCTGGAACATGGTCGGAAATCCTGGCACCGAGATGTTCCGCCAAACTAATTACCCTGAGGGGAGAATTCTGAGCATTCTGAGCATACTGCTGAGAAGATTATCGAAGTGAGAACACAGAAATTGTTTTGTTGCAAAAGCATTTCAAGTACAGTGGTCTTCTAGCAGAACAAAAAGTTAAAGTTAGTCTAAAGGAGCTAATCAGGTACAAAAACAGAGATGCTTTGAAACTTGCCTCCATCATTGACACTGGTTGAGACTGACAGGGACGTAGAGCTTTAGCCGCGGACTCCACCAGAGGAGAAGTTTGCGCTGACCGTTCTAAGAGCGACGAGCGGCAGCGGTGGATGGAATCCAATGGCTTCACTTCATAATCCTTTGACGGCCTAGTGAGTGACTCGCAACCAGATTGGACCACCACATTCTTCCCTCGCACCGCGACAATATTATGCCTAGGAAGTTCTAGGAAACTCCCTCTCGGGGTATCTAGTGGTGATTCCATCCTTTTCTCCTTGTTAGACGGCGGCAAGGGCGGGATTTGTTGATCGAAAGCCTTTCGGTACAAGGAGAGGAGATATTGTTCCAAGTACATCACTTCATACTCTAGAATTGCAATTTCCTTAATCAATTCCGCCACTGGCTGGACCCCGAACTAAAACCAAATATCAGATAATTTTGCCCAGAAAACCAAACTTGCTAAACAAGGTCAAGATTTGTCAAACCAAAGTTGCGAAAGTAGTCTTGCATAATGATAATCACTAACATAAGCAAAAAATTTAATGGATAACAAATCTCACATAAATTTGAAGTATACTGGGAAAAGTTGCGTGCTGCTACTCATATCGGATGCTGAACAGAGTCAGCTATTAAATATCCACTATCTTGTGACTCATTCAAAAAGAAGAAGAAATAGTTACCCTGGGCATCGAGGTGGGACTGGTATCGCCGTGGGAGGACGAACTCTTCAAACCCAGTGCCTTCTCCAGAGCGCGGCGCTCCTTGAGCTGGTCCTTTAGTCTTTTCTCAAGCTGCAAAATCTGCATGAAAGGCAGTGAAGGAGTAGTAAGTGACAAGAGAACTTAATGTCACAGCTCGAGCAGCCACAGCAACACAATTTCTGGTTCAGACCTCCAGCTTTAGAGAACTGTGGACTTTAATGCCGGTGGTGGAAGTCTTCACCTTGCTTTCCATCGTGTCCGTCATATAACCCACGTCCTGGTACAGAGAGTTTCAAATTACAAGGGTTAATAAATCGGCCATATCATCGCGAAAATAGTACATGCACTCGGCCATCAAAGTGAAGTTATAGGATGATTGTTCAGCAGGACGTAGACAAGGTAAGAAACTACTTCAACCCAAGAACAGGAAGGAAAAAGCTTCAATATACAAAAAAACCCCCACTGAAAAGAGAAAAACTGCAGGAGGAACATTTTACCAGCTTTACACGGTGTGAATCTTCAGTTAAAACATCACAACTATCTGCCTCGTCTCTTTTCTTGCCAGGAAAGCTGTCATTTCAGAGCATCACCACAAGCACAAAGAATCAATACTCGTAGACTGAAGAAAGCTAAAACAGAAAGTTAAGACATTACTAAACATGCTACTACCAATCAAAAGAAACCTTAATCTTCTTTAAGGTACGTGTTTTATCATCCTTCTTGATTTCACCATCTTCGGGTGGTACAGAGCACTTTGACAAGACCAAACTTCTCTTTACCATATGATGTCGAAGATAATTTAATGAATGAAACCCATCAACCAACATAAGAAAAACCAGCAAGGGAATTGTCCAGCGGACTACAAATTGGAAGAAAAAACAAAATGAATGGTTACCTCTTTGAACGCTTGTGTGTCGAAGTCATCCTCAGCACCAAAGTTTTAATTCTACAGTAGTCCAAACTCTTTCAAGTCCCA